AAAAAAGATTTCATGTAAATGCAGGGATTGCACTGGTTTAACCTCAAAATGGATCCGGTGTTTTATCTGGAAAGGGAAGGGGTGCTGCCCTGGCTCTGCATGATGACATTGAGTTCTTTTTGGGGGGGATGCAGCTTTTTTCGGGGTGCAGCCACACCAAATTCCTCCAATATTTTACCTAGAAAAGGAAAGGGATGCTGCCCTGGCTCTGCACAACAACACTGGATTCTTTTTTCGGGGTGCAGCCACCCCAAATCCTCCAGGATTTCATCTGGAAAGGGAAGGGGTGCTGCCCTGGCTCCCCAGGTTCAGCTGCCCAATGACACTGAGTTCTTTTTTTTGAGGTGCAGCCACCCCAAATCCTCCAATATTTTATCTGTAAAAAGGAAGGGATGCTCCCCTGTTTCTGCACGACACTGAGATCCTTTTTGGGGTGCAGCCACCCCAAATTCCTCCAATATTTTACCTAGAAAAGGAAAGGGATGCTGCCCTGGCTCTGCACAACAACACTGGATTCTTTTTTCGGGGTGCACCCACCCCAAATTCCTCCAATATTTCATCTGGAAAGGGAAGGGATGCTGCCCTGGTTCTGCACAACGACAATGAGATCTTTTTTTGGGGTGCAGCCCCCCCAAATTCCTCTGATATTTCATCTGGAAAAGGGAAGGGATGCTGCCCTGGCTCTGCATGATGAAATCAAGTTCTTTTCCGGGGGGATACAGTTTTTTTGGGGGTGCAGCCACCCCAAATTCTTCCGATATTTTATCCGGAAAAGGAAGAGATGCTGCCCTGGCTCTCCAGGTCCAGCTGCACAATGACATCGAGCTCTTTTTTGGGGTGCAGCCACCCCAAATTCCTCCTAGATATTTTATATTTTATCTAGAAGAGGAAAGGGATGCTGCCCTGGCTCTGCATAATGACACCGAGTTCTTTTTTTGGGGTGCAGCCACCCCAAATTCCTCCAGTATTTCACCTGGAAAAGGGAGGGCAGCAGGAATGCGGGCTGGACCAGAACCCTGTCACAAAGGGCTGTTTGCAGTGGGGTGGGCTCTGCTGGCACAGGGATGGGCACTCACTCACCCTTTTTCCTGGCCTGGGCGATGACGTCGGCGGCGCTTTTGCTCATCACCTTGGTGATGTACAGCGGGCAGTTGGTCTGGTTGGCGATGGTGATGGCGCGGTTGACAGCCTCTGCCTCCACCTGGGACAGAGCCAGCGGGGTCAGGGACACCCATGGGACCCTGGGAACCCCTCAAGGGTGACCCCATGGGACCCTGGACATTCCCAGGGACACCCATTGGACCCTGGGCATTCTCAGAGGTCATTGCATGGCACCCTGGGCACCCTCAGGGACACCCCAAATCATCATGGGCACCCTTAGAGACCACCCCATGGCACCCTGGGCATCCTAGGGACACCCCAGGACATCCTGGGCACCCTCAGGGACATCCCACAGCACCCTGGGCACACTAAAGACACCCATGGAACCCTGGGTCACTCTCAGGGACACCCCAGGGCAACCTGGGCACCTCCAAGGGACATCCATGGCACCCTGGGCACGCTAGGGACACCCATGGGACCCCCTGGGCATGTTCAGGGGTCACTGCATGGCACCCTGGC